ACGCAGGCTGATTTTTTTAGCCATTTTTCAGACAAAAAAGTCTTGGGTTAATAAAATATAAAAAAATAATTAATTTCACTGCAAAATCCCACACTCAGTCCCAGATGAGCCATTGTTCTGTTGTATATTCTTAGTCGCTTGTTTACAGAGCGATAACAGCTGATTGGTTCTGCTGACACCACTCTCCCAAATAATGTTGCCAGCACTCACCATCTCTCAAGCACCATTGTTATCACTGCTTAAGAGGATTGGTGCTTACAACAGGATCAGTCTTGAGCACTTAGTAAATAATATTGTAGCATATTTATCAGAACTTAATAAATGTTATTGTAGTGTAAAATGCATTTCCATATGCCCTGGTTTATTCACTAATCAGTTGTCTAGGTGCAAAAGTAGCCAAATCACACCATCATGTATCAATTAAATTTAAAATAGAAATTTGAAAAAAAAAGTTATAAGACAATGGTTTAGTAGTGCTGTTAATGTGTGTGCTGTGTAAGTGTCTTGTCATGTCACCTCACCCCTTGCATTGTCAGCTCACTTTGCAGTGTTACATTTATTTATTACTGTATTATTTACTTTATTATTACTGTACGTACACTTCGAAAATCTTTTTGTTTGCACCATGTACCATAATTATAAATAATTATTTTATGTGGCAGTCAAGACAAGGCACAAAAACTGAACAGAAAATGAACGAATAATCGAATAAAAATATTAGGAAATTGTCGAATAACGTCAAAACATTCCAAACTCGGTTAATTTAGATTTTTCGGTAATTCGAGTGACCCACAGACCATTTTTTGTTGAATTAACGAAGGTATAGTGAACAGAGATGTCCAACGTTGAAGAAGATAATCCAGACAGTCCCCCACTTCCAGTTTATTTAAGTAAACAATAAACCTCCATACACTCGATATCTGTTTTTCATTTAATTTTCTTTTAATAATTGCTTATGTTATGTCACATTAATTTTCTAGCAGCCCAGAGTGCTTTAGACTAAGCATGAGGTGTATAACAATAGGGACAGAGGCTACAGAAGTGGTAGCTTCCCAACACAGTGACTGCCCATGGTTTGGTGAAATCGCTGGTCTGGCATCGATCCGGCCTTGATGGTGCCGGAAAATAGGTGGTCGACCTGTAGAATCTTGGCAAATTAAGGGAAAAACCAGTGGGGTTCTTCCCATTTACACTTATGAAGCCAGAAACTAAACTTGTTGGTTTAGAACAGTGGCAGGGATTCAGCCAATGTTTTTTTCAAGGTTGACGGAATTGAATCTTCAGACTTAGTGCTCAATCAATTACACATTGAGCTTCCAACATATATTGATTCATCCTTTGTTACTGGACCAGACAGTACTGCCATGAAGTATCATAAGCTATATTTTGTGAAGGAGTCTCATCAGATTTTCTTAGTACTGTAGATTATATATGCAGTTCAAAATAAGCCACACAAATTATTTTTTTACGAAGTTTTCTCAATTTACAAAGAAATTAGAATTTAAAAAAATATTATTATTATTTTTGTGTGTGTGTGTGTGTGTGTGTTAATAAAGGCATTTTTAAAGTAAACTATATCACTGTTACTATATAGTGCACTACTGTATATATGTGTTTGTTTCAGGGTACAAGAGGGTTATTCCACACCTATCAATAATGAGGTTTACTTCATATCACCATAAAAGTGTGTACTGTATTATGTCTCAAAGTAACTTTACTGCATTTGTCCTTTTGGCTTCCAAAACTATTCTGAATAAATTTTCAATGCAAAATTCTCTACATGGACATGTCCTTGAACATTTTATATTTTACATTTACAGATGTACTCCATCTGTAAATGTAAAATATAGATTTTATAGACCATATAGATTTTATAGTGCGAGAAGATATCACAACAACTACAGTATATGATATAACCTGTCCCTTGTACATAATAATGTATGAATTCTTGTGGTGTAATTTTCTGCTCATTTATAAGGCTGTTGATCTATCCTCTTTATAAAGTTAACACACTCCCCTCCAGGTAGTCCTACCTCAGTCTGGAGGGTTGGGGTCACGGGGTGTGAGGCAAGCGACACAGAGTTGACCAGTTGTGCCTAGAAGGAGAGGGACAGACGAGGGGGAAAATGCATTCTTAAAAAGTTATCCTCGACTGTAAGCTGAAAAATTGCACTAGAGTACCTTTAAAAAATGCAACATTTAAAAAAAAATTATTTTTATGTAATGGAAAAAAAAAAAGCAGGGACCATCAAACACTCAGCTCCACAACCACACAAGTAGGAAAACAGTGAGTAGAGTGGTGCACCCCTTCACACATCACAACACTGACAAAACACATATTTCTGATAGACAGCACATTAACCCGATAACTGCAACATACATTCTGAAATTCTGAGCGTTTTGAATGCAGCGCGCAAAAAAAAACAAATATACCTCGCGAGGTATAATGGGATGTTTACACTCACCAGTTTCTTGAGTCCCCCACTGACATGTAAGTTTTCTCTATCCTCTGTTTCAGAAACCTCACGGAATCCCATGGTGTTGATGTAGAAATATTTATAGTAGTTATAAATGAATGCATATGTGTTACTGTAAGATATATATACCTACTATAGCTGAACATTCAAGATCTATTGAGAGTGATGTTGAAAGCTTCAACTATATTCACTTTTAGTGAAATTGTCAAAAAAGTCAAGAGTTGGGGTGAGCAATAGAGGCTAGATTCCATTATCCGCCCTATGAGAGACTGGCAGCCAACCTAAGATAAGTAAAGGACTAATATTTGGTTTTCACATTCTTCTACATAACATCTTTTAGTCCACAAGAGTTAAAATGATGTTCGGAGAAAATTAATTTACTTTTTTTTGTGCACTGGAGGGTTGATCGGCGAATCACTCTATCGCAGTTATTGGGTTAATTGGTCATTATAACTTTCTTCTGCTATTACCGCACTTTCTTCTGCCACTGCAATACTGTACTTAAATAAATGTTCTCAGTTTCAAATTAACATCAAATTGTCATTTGTATATTAACTTTTTTTCATAAATTGTAAATTAGACATAGGGTATACAGTATAGTCTGGATTTACGCGGTTTTTGTTTACGCGTTTGGTCATTTACGCGGTGAATTTACTCATTTACGCAGGTGAAGTACAATTTGTTTATTTACTAAAGATACTTGTTTTAGCTCATAAAATTCCTACAAATTACCCGGCCAGAATATAATTTACATTGCTGGAATTCTTATGAGATGGTGATTAATTTAAATATAAACATCCTAAAATTTGCATTAGACATACAAATTTCAGATGTAATTTAAGAATTTTATTAGAAAGAGCAAAAATTTTATCTTTTGTGCAAAATATATGACGTGTATATTCAAATTATTGGCAGTCTTGCAAGGAATCCAGCAATGTCAATTATATTATACTAACTTTAGTGTGAGGTATTATTTATTACTAAACATGTAAGCCTAGTGTTTTCACCCAAACATTTCTCAGAGAGGGAGGAGCCAGCGAGCGTGGGGAAGAGGGGAGTTGAGTCCATTATTTGAATGGACATTAACCGGCAACTGTATTTCTCTTAAATATTAATTGAGTGTGCATACCATCATAAAATTAAGATGTTATTTTTACTACAACATACGTATTGTGTCGGAAAAAGTGTAGTTTGGGGGTCGGCCCAGTCTCTATTTCAATTAGGTAATCCCATATGTTCTGTTATTTCGTTTACGTGTTTCTAGTTCTAAGCGGACCTACCCGGGTTCAATTGACCGCGTAAAGGCAGACTATACTGTACTGTAATGTACTGTGCCGTGTGTTTACAACCCATAAATTCATGTCTAAGCCTCAAGGCAGGACAAAGTGGCTCTTGTTATGCACTAGTGTACACTATGTCATTAGCTGGTTAACTTGTTAAACCTCTATGCAGGAGGATGCCACCCTGTTTAGCTAGGGGAAGCAAGAAAGAAGATATCTGTTTTCCATAAGAAGAATATATATATATATAAGCATTACTTCCTGTATGTATACACCCATCCTTGTAATTGGACACGTTAATATTGCATCAAAAACTTGGCTTCAGTTTTTATGCAGACCAAACATACAAACACTTTCACTATCTTAAGGAAAGGTCAAGTGAGAATGAAGCAGTTGTGGGGTTAAAGCCAAGCTGGGTAGTGAACTGTGTCACTGTGACAAAGGTGTGATCAAGTACACTACTTTTTACCAGTCAAGAAGAACAATTGAACATGTCACAAATATCCATTCATATGCATCAAATTAAAACAGAGCACCAATATCATGTACTACTTGTCCTTCTGCTGTGTGTTGCCAATACTATAATTATTACTGCACTACAAACTACTCAACAACACACTAATATTCTATTCTCAAATGTCATCTTTGAAAGACCAGAAAAAAATTAAAGCAGCAATTGTTAACTTTCTTAATATCTCATTTTGAGATATTACATTCTTCTTTAAACAAATATTACTCTGGTATAATTTAATATGCCTCTATTAACAACTAAACTATGAAAGTAAGAAACCTAAAGGTATTTAACTTATATAATAACTATGAAAAATATTTTGTATGACCATTACTTTTTTCAAGATTCACATTACTGTAGATGCAGGTATGGTAGGGTGATAATGGTGGTTCTCAAGTGAGCAAAACTCTAACTTCACATGCATCAATTGACTGATGGAAGAATAAAGTTAAAAAGAAATTGAATAGAACATTCATTTGTAGATATATAAAGCATAAAATTTTGTTAAAGCAGTTTTACAAAAAATAATACCAAAAAGAGATTAGCACAAAACTAAATACTGTACCGTATGCACCAGATCTTGCAAAAAAACAATAATATCAATATAAAGCAGACAGGCAGTTACCAACTACACTGTATAACAAGTAACTTACAAAACAAAACAAAATTTTTTTTTTTTTAAAGACAAGTCCTCTTCTCCTCCCTTGATGGTTTAGACTGTTGTTGTCTTACCTCTGGGTCATGGTCATGCCTCATATCCATGTTCTCCTCCTCTGATTCTGAGTCACTCTCTGAGTCTGAGGATCTTTCGGGGTCATCATCCTGGTGCTCCTCCCGAGTCTGTGGCATCGTCTTGAGTTCCTCTCGACTCCGGAAGCCCAGAACCAGGATTAGTGGAGGGACAAGAAGACTCAACATCACCTGAAAGTCAAGCATCGATACAAGATCTATATGGCAACATGACAAAAAGAATCTGTACTGTATAAATTTCAAAGCTATGTAAAAACCATTCTCTCTTATCATTACAGGATCAGTAGACAAAATTCATACTGCTCAGCATACAAATCTATGCATCGATCTCCAAAAAATTTATTTAAATAAGTTTTATTTCCCAATGTCTTGGCATTTTACTTTCCTTACAACCTTCTTTCTGTTTTACCTGTTTTCTGTCATCAAGTTTGCCACTTATAGCACACAAATGAGTGATATTCAGTACTGCTCTTATATGGCAGCCACGCCACTCTGGATGACTAATATTGTAAATAAATACTTCAAACGTTGCTGGACACTAAATTCCACCACATCCTTAAGGAAGTGGAATCCCTAAAGGATGAAAATATTATAGGTACACCTAACCCTCACTTTATGTGAGGGTTATGTTCTGGGGAAACCTCACATCATTCAAAATTGTACAAAGTGAACACTTAATCTTATGGGGAAAATGGCAATTTATTCCACAACCATTTCTGGAGCTCCCTCAACCTTAGTTCCAGCACTTTTCATAAAGAAGACTCCTAAAAGACAACAGAAATGTTATAGAAGTTGCGTAAAATCATTACATTACAGGTAATGACCATTATACAATGGAGATAGGGAACTCAAAAAGCCATCACTAAGTGATTGATCATATATGGAATATTAGTAACTTTTTTTTTTCATTTTCACTACTTATCAGCCTATTAGCCATTTGTGCTCTTTATCCAGTGTTAGTACAGGAGGAAATCAGGGACTGAGGTTGGGTCACACTGGATGACACCTTTCTCACATGTGTCCGGGCCGAGGCTTGAACCCTGGACATATTGGTTGAGTTATGTGCACTACTGTTCCATTCCTTGAACCCCTGAAATCCCCAAACAAGTTTTATATCCTGCTGCTATAATAATAAAATAATGTTTACATAAGTCAATTTATAAAAACAAAAAATAAATAAATTTATACAAAATAAATACAATAAATTTTTTTACAAAACAAGATTTATTTTAATTTACCCGGTATATAGTGTTAGTGTGTGTGTGTGTGTAATAATAATAATAATAATAATAATAATAATAATAATAATAATAATAATAATAATAATAATAATAATAATAATAATAATAAACGGTTTATTGAAAAAATTTGCAGCCCGAAGGATGAAAATATACATTGGACACAAATGACTCATTACATACATTGGTGGTTTAACAAAAGCCTTCATTAGAGAAAGGTAAAGGAACATACAGTGAACATACAGATTAATGTTTACACACGTAGATCATGTAAGCTGAGGTGTTGAACAGCAGACACATAGTGAAGTAACTCCCTCACAGATGGCGTTATAAGGGGCTTGACGTGGTGTAGTAACTCCCTCACAGATGGTGTTATGAGGGACTTCACATGATGCTGTAGCAACTCATTCACTACGTGGTGTTGTAGCATCATGGGGACATCACGTGGTCGACTTCACTCACTCAAGTGGGTGAGGTGTGGTCCCAGGCCTCTCTATCCTGGAGTCTCAGGGGAATTATTACTGGGTACCTGGGACCTCACTGTGTGAAGGTTAACTTGGGTAAGACTCAACTGCCGAGTTGTTTTTCACTGACTTAAGCACTGTTCACCACTATTCAACACTGGTTCCATTCCTTTCCCAAATGAAATAGTAACTTCTGGCGAGAACTTGTTGATACTCCGGTGGGGAGGAGGGTTCAGGGGAGGGAGTTGGTATGGGCCAACATAACAGTTGACGTGGCTGCTGCTGAGCAGCGCCAGGTGCGTCTGACCCGTCTCTCGTGCATGTGTGTGTGTGTGTGTGTGTGTGTGTGTGTGTGTGTGTGTGTGTGTGTGTGTGTGTGTGTGTGCGTGTGCGTGCGTGCGTGCGTGCGTGTGCGTGTGAACTTGGCAGGTCACCAAGTTAGATGTCACCTCTCTCCCTACCAGGCTAGTTGCATTATTGTTAGTTTCAACTTATAATTTTGAGTAGCTATAGCTGTATGTATTTTATTTATTTTCTTTTACTCTGCTACATGCACACACAATTGTTCAAACAGAATAAGCAAACAATACAAAATAAAAGAAATGATTAACACAAAGTCAAAGATAATAAAACATTCTTAGGTCCACGGTAGTTAGTGTGCAATTGTGGGAGAGGGAAGAGGGGGGGAAGGAGGAGAGGAGTGTTAGTAGTGGTCATTGGCGTGCGGGTCGTGTCATGTTGCGTCTGTAATAAAGCGTGTTGGCACTCGGGTCTTCATTGTTGAACGCCGACAATTGGACAGTGGTGACATAAGAGCATCTTGAGGTGAATGTGTAAATCGATGTAGGATTTTTAACATTATTCTCAATTGTATAATGAATTATTCTCAATTGTATAATGAATTATTCTCCCTACCGACTGGGAAATAGGCTGGGCGGTATACAACCACAAAATCATTGCCATATGACAAGATTTATCCAGAAAATTTTAAATAAGTTGCACTCATGACTGTGATTGACCAGCCAAAAGCCAATCAGAGTGTAGTACTGTTCCTTTAGCAGAGACAGTCCATAGTGATAACAGTGACTGCAGAGGAGGCTGAAAATAAATTGAAGTGGAAAAAAAAAGTGGGACAAGCAAATAGGCACAGGAGTAACCATAGGCGCGGGAGTAACCATAGGCACGGGAGTAACCATAAGCACGGGAGTAACCATAGGCGCGGGAGTAACCATAGGCGCGGGAGTAACCATAGGCACGGAAGTAATCATAGGCGCAGGAGTAACCATAGGCACGGGAGTATCCAAGACATACAGTCGGCCCTTAACATTCGCGGGGGTTAGGTAATAGAGATACC